ATAAAACAGAAAACAAAAATGCCCCAGGGCTGTTCTGAACTCTGGCGGCTCCGAGCTTCATCGGCTCAGTGGGAAGTTCCCAAGCAGGCGGGTCCCATGCCCTAGAAACCACCTCTGATGTGGATCTCCAATCAAACTAAACAAATAATTTTAAAGGGAGGATTAGAAAGAAAGGAAAAAAAAGTAGCGTGTTTTTGTGGGAAGACTATTCCGTTGCCACACCTTCTCTGGAATTGGTACTCGGGCACCACACAAGTGCGTGGAGTGTTCATTCCCAGCAAAACAAGGCTCTAATTATTTATGTTTTCATTGTGTCACATTACATGAGGCTACGCTGCAAAATAATCAACAAAAAGAAGCCTCAGGTGACACAGATGGTCGCGCCAATTGTTTAAAGAAAAAAAAAACCCTGATCACAAGCTTTGCATTAAAACTACTCTGACAAATGAAATCATCATAAGAAGAAAATAGAACTTTGATTGAATAATAATTCTCAGTAAATGTCAACCTCCCCCATATCCACATTCATCTTTGGCATTAAAGATGGCTTTGGAATAAAATGAGAAGGGCGTCGTTTCTTGTTTCACATGAAGAGAGATTAAGTCCTAAAGATCTTTAGAGCAGTCAGGGGAGTTCTGACAAGGTACGGATGGGCTCAGAGTTCAGCAAATGAACGTACAGTAAACACGCCACCATCTCCTTCACACATGCACCGTGTCTTCGTGTTAATAGCTCAGATAAGTGGACATAGAGGCCAACAAATTAACAGAGTAAGAGAAGGGGAGATGCCCACCTAAGTTGAAACGGAATTTCCCATTTTTTTTTCATGGCCTACACAGAGTTGTCAGTGTACAAAAAAATAGATACATAGAGCATTTAGACAACCTTTTCTGAAATGTTCATGGCTGTGGTCTCATGTTGAGAAGGTCATTTGTATAGATAGCCTTCATATTGAAGATGTCTCTCCAACTCTTTAGTTTCTTGACCTTTACATTCAACAATGACACAGACGACAGTGACAGTATCAGCAACACTGTCAAGTTTGATAGATAACCCAGGGGTCCTTATAAACCCTGGGTTCACATGGCCATAGCCCTGCATTTATGGCGGCAGGCACTCTGGGCAGGTCTTATCTCGGAGTTTGACACTGCTCTTTCGGCCTCAACATTGTTTCTCTGTTCTTCTTTCTTTCTCTCTCTTTTTTTAAAGATTTTATTTATTCACTTGACAGAGAGAGACAGCACAAGCAGGGGGAGCAGCAGAGGGACAGGCAGGTTCCCCGCCAAGCAGGGAGCCTGACGCGGGGCCCAACCCCAGAACCCCAGGATCATGACCCGAGCCGAAGGCAGACGCCCAACTGACTGAGCCACCCAGGCACCCTCTGTTCTTCTTTCTGTCGATCTGCTTCTAGAAAGCTAAGCCAAATCCTCTTCTGTGAGTCTTTTTAGATTTTGTTGCCTGCTGTTCTCAGTCTGCCCCCCTTTCTCATGCTATCCATAAGCTATTTTGGCATCTTGCTGTCTTCCCTCCCTTGCGCGTGACTTGCCTTGTGAAGCTCACTTCCAGCTGCACGCTTTCCATGTTGGTTGGCAGGCTAAGCTGTAGGATTTCATTTTTAGTGATTATTGTAGTACTTGATGTCCCTTCTGATGTAAATAGAGCTCCACTGTTCAGAAAAAAAATGGAGCACTCCACGGAAAGCCTTGTGCGTAAAGGTAGAAAGCTTAAAGGAAATTAATGAATTTGTCCCACTCTGGATGACTTCCCCAAGTTCACCCAGAGTGAAAGTTGGCCTCCGTGACCTGCTGTACCACCTCATTTTTCACTGTGTCCAAGGGGGGCCTTGGGAAAGGGGATACTGTTTAATGACTGCCCCGTGAATTCTCAACCTATGTTAGCTCCCCCAAGCAAAGGTTAGATCTCTTTTCTCACTTAGTGCTATTAACGATAATTTCTCAGAAGGCTTACAAGTCAGCAGGCTATACCGACAACTTTCATGTCTTCATCTCCAAGGATTGTCCTTGGCATTGAGAACGGCCGTCAGGGTACAAGGCGGTAATGTTATTTCAGTCTTCCAAATGAAGACACCCTCCTATGTGTCTCTGCTGTGTGTGGCTGGCTCTGAATTTCCGGTGAGTTATAGTGTATGCAGAACGGTTCTGAGCATTGTAAAGCCGTCCATAATTTTTTGAGCTGGAAGGGCTTCCCCAGAGGCCAAATTTTTATTCTAATAACATAACCCTCATTTCTCATCTCCCTAAGCAGGCCTTCAGGAAAAGATGATCCTGAAGCCAAATCTACAAGCTATTTATACTTCTAGACCATTAATAATGGGCAATGGCTCTAACACAGCCCTCAGTTGTCACCCACAAGGCCATCACCTCATGTACTAGCTTTGGATCATAATTAATTCTATTCATATCCATATCTATTTAGAAGTGCCACAGTGTTGGCGTGCAAATAATTGAAAACACATCCATACAAAGTTCTGAGACATGTATCCAACTATTCAAATTATTTCTTGTATTTCTCTCCTAGCAAGAGAATATTATTCTTACTGCAGGCAAAAACTACCCAGGCCTCTGCCACAATTATTTCGCCCTGCACAGTAACTGATTGAAAGCAGCTCTTTCAGGGATTGTGCCAGTACTGGAGAGAGATGACAAGTCCTGCCAATTGCTGCAGTCAGCATTTTGACTCTCTTCTTTACAGATGGTGATGGCAGGAGTGCTGTATCCCGAGACACATTACCAGTGCTTTATGGGAAGAATCCTTGGAGACGTCTAAGGAGCCCCTTCTTGTTTAGAAATCCTTGGCAAGGATGTGGCAAAGCCCAATGGCTTTACTATGTTCATCCACCTTTCCTGTCAGCTTCTAGTAAAGTTTAAAATGATCCTCAGCAGCTTCGTGAGTTTTCCATGTAATAGAGAGCCTTGTGCATAATGGTAGAAGGCTTTAAGGAGCTTGATCAATTATTACTACTAAGCATTCCTTCTCCAAAGGCCCTCCCGGTGAAGGGGTAAAACACATACCATTTCTGTTCACTTGACCCCATAAGATACTGCAGGGTACCAACTCATGAGGAGCCCGGTAGAGGTGTATGAACATAGAGAAAAGCCAGAAATGGATTTTCACATGTAGTAGGTGTTTTAACCCTTAAGGATCTGTCAGAGCTGATCTTCCCATGAAGAACTGAGCTCTCTGAAAGGAAGGGAACTTGGGCAAGAAGAGTTTCAAGCTTAAGATTTTGGAGTTTGGATACGAGCTTTGTCATGAATACATTTTACCATCTTAGCTTCTAATTTCCCATATTTTATTAGGATATGTTGTGTGACTACCTCAGGAAATCTGTCACTGCCACTCCTCTAGATGTCAAGTGTGGCTTACAATTTAGAATTTGCCTACTTCTGAGTTCAAAAGAGCCATGTTGTTGAACAGATAAAACATTAATGTTTTATCATATCCCACAGATGTACAGAGCCATACATCATAGCCAAGAAGAACATAGCTCATCAAGGGACAGAACAAGAAGGAAATTCATTAACAAGGGTTTTTGTTTTTTGTTTTTTGTTTTTTAACACAGAAGAACAACAGCATTTCTTGAATACTTATGCTAGGCACAGGTCTAAGTGTTTTACGTGTATTCACAACTTAATACTCATAACAAAATTTATGAGGTACTTGCTATTATTTTCTACATTTTATAGGTGAGAAAACAAGTGTGGCATGAATCAGTAATTTGATCGATGTCAAATTATCAATAAGTGCAAAAATGAGTTTAAGGCCAAGCAGTCTGGCTTTAGAGCATGCAACTTTAACCATTACTCCATACTGTCTATGGTCAACACTAATTATGGCTTTGTTTTTGCCAGGGATACAATACTGCTTCATTAAGATCGCCAATCATCATAAGTGTGTCACTTATGTATTGTGACAACATTGCATAATAAACCACCCAAAATTTCAGTGGCCTATAATAATGAGCCTGTATTTGTCATGCATCTCTGGGATTCAGCTGATGGAGGATAGGCTTGACAGGGCTTGGCTGGGCTCATTCATTCTTCTGCTGAGTAGTTCTAATTCCTTTGCCTCTCCACCAGTCTCTGCTTGCATCTTGTGTACCCACATTCCATTGGCCTAAGGCAAGTCACAGGGCAGAGTTTAAGAGTCAGTGTGAGGGTCATATCAAAGGTATATGTTAATAGGTATGGACACAGGGAGAGGTAAAGAACTGGGTTATTATGTCGGTCTACTATTATTCGTAACAAGGAATGTGAATTGGTTTGGGAGCAAGATTCTATTCAATTTCCATTCATTCATCCATTCAGTAAACTCCCTTAAGTTTCATATATAAGCACCATCCTTATGTCTTAGGCATGCCAAGGTATAATTCAGAATTGCTCCTTCAAAAAGGCTTGTCATCTTACAGCCAAGTCAATAATTACAACACACCATAGTATTGCCATGAATATTATGAAAGCAAGGGCCAAAGCCCCAAAGAAGGGTTGTGTTTAAAGAGAGGAAAGGAAAGAGGGGAGGAGTGACTCTCCTCTGATAATGTTTGGGCTGAACCTTGAAGCACAGGCAGTTTGTAAGAGACCAAGAATAAACATCCATTACATGCAGCACGATGTCAAGAGATGAAGATACGGAAGTCCGATCATGAAGAGCTTTACATGTCACCCTAAACAGCTCAAACTTTATCCTGAAGGCAATAGGATGCTATGAAAGATATTTAAAAGATTATTAAACCTTGCATGAAAAGTAAAAAGATGCCTGACAATTTTTGATGGATACTTCAGAAATTAATATACAAATAAGTAAGTGGTATCATACAGAGGAAACCTTCTATAATGTTTCTTCATTTTGAAGTCCCCAAAGATGCTGTCTTACTGATGTTCTGAATACTTAAAACAAGACAAAACCAAAAACCCGCCAAAAACCAAAAAACCAAGGACACTAAAATGTGTACTCAACAACTATTATAAAAACATACTTACGCAGTCAAATTGAAAAAAAAAAAAACAAACAAAAACAGAACCACAGACGTTTTTGGTTATTTAATGATGGAGCTTCACTGGTGAGTTTTGACCTGCAATAAAAGCATATGAGTTTTCTCTAAGTTATTTAGGTCAATATATTCATGAAAACATGTTTTTTATTCACTGGAAATTTTAACTTCAAGTAATGCATCTTTCTAATTATACAGTAAAGGGCAACAGATACCTCCAGGTAATCTTTGAAATAGGAGAAGAAACAATTTGTTTGTTCTGTGATTCTCATTCTCTTTCTTATGCTCTTTATTACCATGAGCAAAATATTTGAATGAAACAGGATTTTTGTTAATATTGAGAAACCCTCCTGACTCCTAAATAATACTTTGATTATATTACATTTATTTCCCTGGCAGTGAATGAAGATAAGGAAAATAAAGTAAGCAATCTCCAAATTGCTCGTTGGCTATGGATGACTTCAACTATGTTGTTCTGAGATAAGCAATTAAAGTAAGGTATTGCATGCACCCATGACTTCCATATAGGATAGTCAGAAAATAATTTACGGTCCTATAGAAATATTGCTATGTATGCGTGTCTTTTTCTGTTTCTTTTTCTTATTCTTTTTTTAAAGATTTATTTATTTATTAGAGAGAGAGAGAGAGAGAGCACGAGAGGGAAGGGCAGGGGGAGAGGGAGAGAGAATCTGAAGCAGACTCAGCACTGAGAGTGGAGCCTGATCCGGGGCTCAACGTTATGACCCTGAGATCACAACCTGAGCCCAAACCAAGAGTTGGACGCTTAACTGACTGTACCACTCAGGTGCCCCGTTCTTTCTTCTCCTTCTCCTTCTTCTTTCTCCTTCTTCTTCTTCTTCTTCTTCTTCTTCTTCTTCTTTTTTAAATATATGATTTAGGGATTGAAGAAAGGAAGATTACCATATTTATCAGAATGCTTTTGTTTACAAATGGTAGAAAACACAACTCACACAGGCTTAATTTGTGAAGGTAACTACTGTTTTTGTGGCTGAAAGGTCTTTCAAGTAGTGCTTGAACCACAGTTTAAAAGGTATTACTAGGACTTGTTTTATCCATTTTGTATGTCTCAATTCCTCTTTCTGAGTGTGTCTTTCATTCATTAGAGGCTTCTCCTCTCATAGTCCAAGATGGAGGCAGTGGATCCTAAGCAATCATACTATCCAACCATCATTCCTATCCAGCAAAGACAGCATTTCTGCTACAACCTCCAAATAAATGTCCAGAGACTCATTCTGATCAGAGCAATTAAATCACAGATCCATCTCTGAATAAATCACTATGGCCAGGGAGCCCACGTGCCTCATCTGTACCGAACAATAGAGTCAGCTTTTTTTTTAAATTAATTTATTTATTTGAGATTGAGAGAGAGTGCACAAGAGTGGGGAGACTGGCAGAGAATCTCAAGCAGACTTAGCACTGAGCTCAGAGCCCATGAGGGCTCCATCTCACAACCTGGGGATAAGGACCTGAACTGAAACCAAGAGCAAGAGTTGGACGCTCAAGCAAGTGAGTCACCCAGGCCCCCTAGAGTCAGTTTCTTGAACACATGGTCTTCATGGGAGCAGGAGAAAACATTCATTAAAATCAAAAAGAAAGGAAATAAATTTAAGAGTCAAGTAAATGACCTTACACTCTGGCTTTAACATCAAATACGCATGCTAAATATATCATTACTATTTGTAGTCATGTATTTGGGCAACATGAATAGGGCACACAAAGAAAATAATTTCAATGAAAAAATAAAAAAAATCACTTGTAAAAGGGATTAATGGGAATAGTGAGAGAACTTCACTGAACTAGATTGAGGTAATTGATAATTTACCTTCACCTATAACAGAACTCCATAACCATTTCCATGTGCCTGTAGGAGATCCCAAATTACCACTGCTAATCCATGCCTGGGGCAAGCTCAGTTCGACTTCCCTTTTTCTCTTCTAAGTAGCCACAAACCTGCTGTCCAGTGTTGCTTATTATCTTCTGTCATCCTCCTTCTCTACACCACTAAAATGATGAATAATAAAAAGCCAGGAGGAACACCACCTAGTCACTGACAGAGAACAAATAGCTCACCCAACTTAAGGGGTTTGAGCTTGCATCTAGTTAGGAGATTTGGTCCTTTAAAAACTAGAAAGCAGAGACACCTGGCTGGCTCAGTCGGTTAAGTGTCTGCCTCGGCTCAGGTCATGATCCCAGGGTCTTGGGATCGAGTCCTGCATCAGGCTCCCTGCTCAGTGGGGAGCCTGCCGCTCCCCCTGCTTGTGTGCTCGCTCTCTCCCTCCCCCTCTCCCTCCGACAAATAAATAAATAAAATCTTTAAGGAAAAACAAACAAACAAACCAGAAAGCAACTATCGCATGAAAACTGAAACATATTTCTCTACCTGTTTGTTGCTTGCTCCATATTTTACTTTGTTTCAAACTGCTTCTGCTGAGACATTTACACCTTAAATTTTTCCTAAGGAGCTACTAATTATCTTTAGGTAGTGACTAAACTATAAGTCTGAATCTCTATCTTCGGGGCTATTTAAACCCATTATATCTTTATTTGTTTCCATTTGCCAGGCAGCATTTATCCTATTTCAAGTGGCACAGAAACCTTACTGGTTCCTGCAAAAGTAAGTGCTTTTGCATGTAATCTAAAAACAAGGTAAAGGGACTTGACAGGTCTCCTCTTTATCCCCTCCCAGGATGGATTGCCTTTTTCCAGGTACTACTAGCCCCGAGGGGTGGGAAAATTTCAAGATGCCCAACTTCATAGCACCTAGACTTCACTGAACCAAACCATCAAGCTGTTCTGTGCATTAAATAAATTGTGCGTGGGCAATGAATATTTCTCTAGTCAAGGTTGGTGTTACAAGGATTTAAGATGCAGAAGCTCAGCCTTAGAAAAGAATTGATGGAATGTGCATTTAAATGCAAGTTTTACACAATCTCACAAGCGCTTAATAAAGTTTTCTAATGAAAACTTGACTTCTATGCTAATCAACGAAGGAAAGATGTATTTGCTTTAGATTCATACTTCTATATAATATAACCTGATTTACTTTCAAAAGCTCCTCTTTTTTTTTTATTTTGCCAGCTTATACATAATAAAGGAAAAAATGTTGTTACTGTTAACTTTTTGAACTAGTAAGATACTCCGTTGATTAATCACAACATAAAACTCCTTATCCATAAGTATTTGTTATAAATGTAGTTGACTTCAGAAGAGCTGTTGATATTAAAGAATGCCTAATTAATTGTGTAGATTAGATGAATACTCGAGACAAAGAAAAAGGCAAATGGAAAAGGAGGTTCCGTGTACATTTTCATAATTCATTTTCAAATTCTTGAATTTGGCCCCTCTGTCCTTCCTACTCAAATTGCCCCCAATATTGCTAACTCAGAATAGAAGTCGCTGCTTGCCGACTGGTCTTTCCAACTCCACCTATTGATGATGCAGGGGTGGTGCCCACAGTTCTCCCCTTCAGGAGCAATGCACTTATTCCCCAATTTCTGAGAGTCTAGATGGCTGGCAATTTTCAGCTGAGTCTCTCTCCAAAATTTCCTGAAGCCAGTGGTTCTCAAACTTTAATTTGTATTAGAATCATAGAGAGAGTTTAATATACGGAAGGCTGTGCCTCCAGATTTCTGATTTAGTAGGTCTGCAGTGGGGGCTGATATTCTTTTACTAAGCACCAAGGTGATGCTCATGCTGATGTTCTGGGGAACTACACTTTGAGAACCACTGTCCAGAGCTGAAAAGAGCTGCCTCACCCAAAGCCACACTTTCCTCCATGGAAGGAGCCCAGATGCCAGATTGGGAGTATAAAAGCCAGGCCTCCTTGCAAATGCAAATTGCATTGCATTTCAATATTCCCCTCTGTCCAATTCTATGTCCATTCTCCCCCTTTGGTGTTGATCCTACATGTACTGTGAGGCCCAAGTTGATGTACTTAAAATACCTATCCAACATTTTGTGGCTCTCCAATGTCTCTAACTTATGTCTATCTTTTGTATTCTCCCAACTTCTGGATTGATAACTACCTAGCCTCTACTGGCTGTTGAATGTCACTGGGGAAAGCACAGACAAATTCATAATGTCCCGTTCCAAATGAGCCCTCTGCCTGCATTATAGTACTAGGATATGTGTGGGTAGCTTTCTCTCCCACTTTCCACATGAACAATTTTGTCTAATTTCTCCCTACCTCCTACTTCACTATTTTCTAATGCTCTCAGAAGATGGCCTTTTCATCACCTTACCAACTGCACAAACCAGATGCAACGTCATCCTCCACATCCCTCTCCCTTAATCCCCAAATCTAGTCCAATATCAAGTTCTGATGAATCTGTCTAGAATATATCTCTCCTCCCATTTCTCCACATCTCTACTTCTCCATTCTCTATTCATGCCCTAGTGCAGGCAAATACTATTTCTCACTCTGCTAACATTAAAGCCTTCCTGACTAGAACCAGGATTTTGTCACCTTCCACCTGCCCTCTCCCTTGGCAGTGTTTCTAAAACAAAACCTTTCATCTCTCCCTTTTAATGAACTCTCTCTATAGTCTTCTACCATAAACATCCTCATGACCCATCCCCACTCCACACATATACATATTGCTCTTAGGATAAAGTTCAAAATCCTCAAGTTGGGTTACAAGGCTGTTTATGTATATATTCGGCTTATAGCTCCTGCCTCATTTTGTATCCTATGTACAGTACAATGTGCTCCGATTTATGCTAAACAATGTGAAGTTTCTGAGCCCTTGCATAAGCCACTCATCCAGAAAAGTGTGTCTGAGTTCCCAAGGCTGTGAAAACAAGCAAACAAAAAAAATTTATGGCAACAAATTTTAAAGCTTTCCAACCCTTGAGAATATATCCTCAGACCCTGAGAGGCTGGTCATGAATCCTAGGTTGAGAAACACTGTCATAGATGCAGTACTCTGATATAAAAGCAAAACAATATATATAGAATTTTAGGGATAGAATGGACATTAAATAAAAGCAAATCCAACTCTCGTAGTTTCCAAATAAAGAAAATGATGCTCAGAGAAGTTAAACCATGTACAATGGAAATTAAAGGGGAAGAACTAGGCTCGGAGGTGGGTGGGAAAAATTGAAGGAAATCTATAAATTAAATACCAAAAAACTAAAAAAAAAAAAAGTTGTGGGGACTGCATCATCAATTTTTTGAAATCTGATAGAGATAAATTCAATGTATATATGAGGTACAAGGAACAGACTGGGAGGACAGAATCCCACATGGTCTCCAAGATTGACTGTCCCTTTCAGAAGGCATTGTTGCCAATACGTTCTTGTTAAAGGCCATGGAGACTTAGAATGAGAGGATAACTGACATCTGCATCTCTTTGAGCATGCTGGGTGTGGCTGTAATAGTTCATGTCTCAGGAAGAAGTGTATGTTATATTATTAACCAGTATACACACGTGAAGCAAACATGCCCATGCATACAACTAAATAATAAAAATTTCCACAAAGCAATGTTCTGATGTTTTCTATCTTATTTTGTTCTATTCTAAATCATTAAGAGAAAGGTTAATTGTGACCTGCTTTATTGTTTTCACAGTCCATTAATGGGTTGTAACCTACAGTTTGAAAAATAATGTATACTTAATTTCTCATTATTTAGTCTGGATTTGAGGTCGTCTTTGTGTTCTTTTACTCATAACAGCAATAATACTTTATAATACCCCTAGTGTATGTTCCCTTCTTGGTAAATTGCATTTGGTCCCACAACAATCCTTATTAAGATTAAGCCATGCAGTAGGAAGAAGAAGATATAATGTGTCTTAGCTTTGGCTACCATAATAAAATACCACAGACTGGGTGGCTTAAATAACAAAAATTTATTTCTTTTATGATTCTAGAGGCTGGAAGAGATCAGGGTGGCAGCATGATCAGGTTCTGGTGAGTGATTTCTTCCTGGCATTCAGCCAGCACCTTCTTGCTGTGTCTTCCCATGGTGGAGAGAGAGAGAAAGGAAGCTCTCTGAGGCCTCTTTTTATGAGGACCCTAATCCCATCCTGAGGCCTCTTTCATGACTTCATCTAAACCTAATTACTTTTCAAAGGTATCATCTCCAAATACCATCCACATTGGAATAGGGCTTCCACAGATGAATTTTGGGTGGATACAATTCAGTCCATAGCATAATGTGAAGCAATACTCTTCCAAAAAGAGTTCTGGTCTTGGTGGAAAGGAAGACATGGGGAAAGTGAAAGGTATTCCTTTGATACAAAAATCCCATCTGCCTTGGGATCACAATTCCAGGATAGATAGTTAGAAATATCTATATTAAAGGCAAGGGTTTAGTCCTCATTTTTGTATTATAACCTACAAAATTTCAAAACTCTTTGAAGCCTGAGAACACAGGGTAGTATGGTGGCATAACTTAGCTAGGAAGTGATTAGCTCATGAAATGGTGATATCTTCATTCTCCACAGCCTGGGAAAAGTGTGAAGGAAATCTAGAGGTGTTTGTGTGATATCTCAGTGGTTGTGTCGTTGATAGCCCAAAGTCAGAGACTTTCATATCATACTATCAGAAATCTTTGCTAGGATTTCTGTTAGGATTTACTGAGGTGTTTGTCTTGGATAACGGAAGGAGATGGCCGGGGCGTCTGGGTGGCTCAGTCGGTTAAGCGTCTGCCTGTGGCTCAGGTCACGATTCCAGGGTCCTGGGATCCAGCCCCGCATGGAGCCCTGCATCAAGGACTGCATCGGGCTCCCTGATCAGCAGGCCTGCTCTTCCCTCTCCCTCTGCCCCTCCTCTGTACTTGTGCTTGCTTGTGCACTCTCTTTCTGTCTCAAATAAATAAATAAAATCTTAAAAAAAAAGGAGATGGCCAGCATTCCACGAATTTTCTTGTGCAGAGAAAGATGACATTAAGACACTTCACAGAAGATACAATAAGGACAGAAACCAAATCTGGAAACCAGGCAAGATGACCTACATCTCAACTGGAGCGACCCGGAAGCCAACAGATAAGGATAACATAACATTATGTCTGTTGTCAATGTGCCTAAATGTCATCCAGAGAAAAGAGTAAAATAGGGGAGATGGAGACAAAGCCTGCAAATCTGGATAGGTACCACAAAGATATTGAAAAAGGCAGAAAGAAATTGTTAAACTGAAGTAGACTGTTATATATTTAATTGCTAAGTTTGTGACTTAAAAATGTGACACTATTATACTTCACTTTTCTCTCTATGCTCACTCTCCATTTAAGTATTCTGACTTGTCATTATAACTTAAGAAAATTGTAAGGTGATTTCTAAAAATATAACATAGGTTATCATAAGAAGCTTGGGTCAAAAACAATGTGATTTTATGCTAATATTTTTGGAACCAAGTAGTTAACTCCTCATTTCCCTTTACTCCAAAGATGATAATAGATTGATCTATGTCACATGTGAATATTACAGGTGTCACACAAATTTTCACACAATTCTCATTTATAAAACTGGTGTTCTTTGTACTGTTCTCTATAAAAAAATTACTCTATTTTCAAAAGTCCTTCAAAACATGTTAAAAGATAACTGTATAAGAAAGGTTAAATCCAAGGTAAATAGTGAGCCATTTCTGGATAAATCTGTAGCTTAGAACACAACAAACTCCATTTGGTCATGGAGCACCATAATACTTCAGCCATCTGTGCAACCCTTAGCTATTTCTAAGTCATCATTGACTTATACCTACTATGTACTTACCACTGTGATAAGTAGGCACTGAGGACACAAATTGACCAGGACAGAATTCCTTCCCTATCAAAGCTGATTGCCTAAATCGAAAAAAGAGAAAAATTAAACAGTTACAAACATGAATATTGCAATCTCTGGCATGTTTCATGTGCTAGGGGAGTGGGAAGCAGGATCTTGGTTGTGCAAGATTGGCTGTGTAGGGAACATTATAAGGGACAACTTCACAAAGAGGTGATAAGTGTACTAAATTTTATGTTATGGAGGGGAATTTTGCATTAAGGTTTTTGTTTAGTTTTTGGGGTTTGTGTGTGTGTGTGTGTTTAATGTTCCTTTTTCACAGTGAAGGGACTTGATGGAATCAAGTGAAAATATTAGAATGAAGTAAACTGGTGCCCCCCCCAAATATGGAGATTTAATTTTGTGGGTTGAATGCCATGACAAATAAGCCATGTAAAGATAACTTTTAAAATCCATGCGGTAGTTATTTATTTTGAGGAGACTGCAATATACACCTATAAATATGAACAAATACCAATGGCCCTAGTATTATCAGAATGACTACTTGTAGCTTGGAATAAAATATCAAGCAGTGACACCATGTACCAATTCAAATATTTTTGTACTTTAAAATATTAAGCAGATGAAGATAGGTACCTAGAAAACTTTTTGATGATTCAAAAATGGTTCAAGTAATATTGATGAAATGTGATTATAAATGTGTCATACCTTGACCCAGGTTCAGCCAATCAAATTCACTTTTCAAGAATGTGAAGTTGGAACAGATTCTATTTGGCTTCAGTGCTGGCCTCTGCAAATCATGTAAAATTAGGACTGGGACAATCATATTTGCCTAGCAGCTTTGTTGGGCAATTACAGAAGGGTAAAGCCCAGAAGAAAGCAAAAGGAAAGGGCCACATAGATCTGAAGAGAGGAAGGGAGAGGTGAGGATTTCTGGGTTGCCTTGACTGCCTTGGTTTCAGTACTTAAGTTTCAGTCCCTTACAGGGTCTGGCCGCACTCCTCGTTCTTGGATTTCCTGAGACAGGTCAAGATTGCTCCTGGTTCTACCAGGTAATTATGATTGGATTTTGTTACATCCAAGCAAATAATACACTTGTGTCTTTAAAAATATGTATAGAAGGTATCCCAAGAAAAGGCAACAAATTGTTCAAAGCACAATATATGCAACCTCCCTATCATTTTTTGTTATTGACTCTGCTGAATGAAAAGCAATAGAATATAAATAAATTCAAATGCTGCCTTTATAATCCCCTGGGGTATACAGTAGAACTAAAATCATATGTAATCTTAGTTGAATGAAATGGCTCCATAATTTTATCCATAATATTCAGTTTAGAGAAAAATTATTCATTTTATCATTTCCATGTTTATTCTTTTGTTAAGTAGATTAAACTAAAATGCTCTGGTGATCCTGGAATTTCATTTAGGATTATGATTCTTTTCATCTGGAAAGAAGGTTGAAAGAAGAGTAGTTGATTAGTCACTTATTTCCAGAAACTTGAATATATTGAGTGTCTAACTGAATTTTCAATTATCTAGATGTTGGATATATGTAAACCTTAAAAATAGAATAAGCAGGGGTGCCTGGGTGGCTCAGTCGTTAAGCGTCTGCCTTTGGCTCAGGTCATGATCCCAGGGTCCTGGGATCGAGCCCCGCATAGGGCTCCCTGCTCGGTGGGAAGCCTGCCTCTCTCTCTCCCACTCCCCCTGCTTGTGTTACCTCTCTCGTGGTGTCTCTCTCTGTCAAATAAATAAATAAAACCTTTAAAAAAAATAGAATAAGCAACTGCCACTTGATAAGTCATAAATTAGGGCAGCATTGGGGCATGGAAAAAACTTTGCAGAGACAGATGTGGTCTTAATGACATCAGCTAATTTTCCTATTGAGTGGCTACCCTCCCGATCCTGTTCTAGTATTCAAGAACTCTGTAGACGCTCTCCTTGCCACTGGCCCCCCTCTAAATTCCTTTTCTTATTAACTCTTTGGAAATTTATTCACACAAAAGGGATTGATAGTTGCTCAGTGTAAGCCCTCCCAGGAGAACTGTCACTTTAAGCCTTTAATTAAACAGAACAATCTTTTAGTGCAGGATTTTTCCAAACAGTAGTCAATAGAAAAGGGAATATTCGAGGAACACGGAAGTTTCCTTGCTGCATCTTCCCATGCCACAGAGGTGACTGTCCACTCCGTTTCTCTCCTTAACAAATCAGGCCTTGGTTGGCAGGAAACGTGTGAAACAGAAGTACTTCTTACACTAATTCTGTCTTCGCACTGTAACCATTATCTTTGCCATTCTCATTCATGAATCTTTTTTTTTTTCCCTTGAAAGTTTATACATTCTCCCCAGAGGAGAAGAAGAAAAAAAAGTTGAATTGAACTCAGTGAAGGATTAAACAGATGATATCAAGGAGCTATGGTACCAGCGACAATTTTTGTGCACACGTATAAAATAAAATTCTACAAACAATAACGGTGACATACATAAAAGGTAGGAGGCAACTTATTCAAACCCATTTTCTGCGTGTTGGTCCCTTGCAAAGTTCCATGAACCCTTGCAGTAAGGGTGCTGGGGGAGTGCTGAGGGGTAACAGGCCGCCCGTCTACCAGACTGGATGAGCTGTAGCAGCGGACGGCCCGCGACTGCGTCAGGCAAGAGCTAGAACTGCCCAGACCGAGGCAGCTGAAGGGGCAGGCCAGGCCTCAGCCCAGCCCGCCACAGAGCTGCAAACACAAGGGCTGGACCCGTGATCACGACAGTCTAGAAAACCCCACCACTGAAGTGCTGAGGTCTCTCTTCCAAGTCCGATCTCTGTTTCAGCCAGAGGACAGCAGAAAAACCCACATGTGCAACTCGTCTTGTTTTGTGAATATTCTAGATAAATACTTCCTCAGGACGGGTCTGTGTGAGGTCTGACCACTTGCATTTGTTTTTATGAAAATACAAAAAATATAAAATGTAATATAGAGATTTAATATATATACATCTGTATGGCTTTATCAAGTACTTACTCTTCATCTCTCAACAAATAATTTCTGTGCCAGAAACTGTGTTGCATACATCACATACACACACTGAGAAATAGGGCAAAGAGCAAGAATGGGCTTTGGCATTAGGGTGACAGGGTGAGAATCCCAGTGTTGCTGGTGACTGACTGTATGACTTGAGCAAGTTATACTCTCCAAGCCATATTTCTTCTTCCATGAGGTAGAAGATATGCTTGCAAGGTTGTCATGGGGATTAGTAAAAACATATGAATAGCCCCTAACATTATTAGGATAGCTAGGGTGTTCCATCTTGATCAGTTTGTTTATATTATTACACTTTGCTCTGAAAAAGAATTCTGGTAATCAGGACATGTATATAAATTCTTAATTTCAAAAACATAAATGATCAGGCAACAAATTAAAATAATATTGGATCAGATTAAAAAATAACTCTTTGGTAAAACATGGGGGTGCTTTTTATTGAAATAGTCTGTTAGAGCAGGGATGCATAAAAATAAAGCAGTATTTGTAAATAGTTTCTTCCAAAATTCACGCTGCTAACTGTCAATTACTAGGCCATTAATCAGTGGGAAATATATCTGTTCTTGGTAACAGAAAAGGGGTGGCGGACTTCTCACGAAAGCTACTCACACACAACACACAATTCCATAGACCACATCTAAATAAGTCAGTAGTGTGGGTGGGTTGCTAGGGAATGCTGCTGCTTAAAGTTCTTATGTTATAGCTCAGAAAACATGGGTCCATGTGGAAATTAAGAGAATTAAGTGGTCAAAGCCATCCACAAACACGTATTTTGGAGATACTGCATACTGTCACAGATTGTACAAAATATCCCACATGTAACCTGTAATAACCAGGTGATTTCTGCTCGAAAGAGATGCCCATGATAGAGCTGAGAGGATGCTCACCATTTAACAGGAATAGTCTCTGTCATACCCTGCTCAAGTTGCAGCTTAAAGATCCTTAAATTTAAGCAAATAAGCCCAAAGCCTTCAGTCCAGGGCTCTGAAGACAGAAATCCCTCAGGGATGTTAAGTAGCAAATTAACTAAGCTGATATATTCCTGAGGAATTTACTGTCTAAAAGTATTCCCATTCCCACCTGTTCCTGAAGAATTTATTTCCCCAAATTATTGTCATAGAATGAAGTTAATCTGGAGTCTATTTACAGGAGAGCATAAAGAAAAAATGTATTTTTAAGAAAAAAAAATTGCACCGCTTGCCTCTTTTTATGAGCCAAACTTACTCCAAAACAGAACCAGGACATTTTTAGCATCCAGTGGGTACACAGTCAGTTAGGTTAGATGTTTCTAATACAACTCCAGCTAATAGTAAAAGTGCAATATTTACAGGTGCTTTGTGGAAAAAAAAAGAATTTAAATAAGTGGAACACATCATCTACAATTAAGTGAAGTATTTAGAAGCATAAATAAATAATAAGCAAACAAGCAAATAGATAAATCCCCAGCATTGGATGCTTTAAATACATTATCCTTTTTCATCTTCGTAAGAATTCCATTTTACAGATGAGGAAAGTGACACATCCTGAGGCCTTCTTACCCCAGGAGCCAGGGCTGGAATGCCAGTCTCCTAGCTAGGGTCACACCCTCAAATCAATCATCATCGCAAAGGGTATAGGTGGAAATCAAAGCACTATTGAAGAGATACATAAAATGCAGTCAAGCAATCTGATCATGGAAGAGAAAAGATACCGGAAATGTATTTCCTATTACTGAGACAGAATGAAGAAAAATGCTCCAGTAAGGGGCATCTAACTTGACTGGTGAAACACAGAACAGGACTGACGTAGTTGAGCTTCCCCATGAAGGTAAGTACCGTGTAAAGGGATTAGGTATTATTTTTAAAAACGGTGGGTTTCACCTTGAGGCATCATCATCTGTACTGCTTCCTTCCTTACCCGAAGATAGTTAAGTAAGTCATTACTTTTCCCTAAATTAAAATTAAATTCAAAGAGGGAATATATTTTGAAATTAAGATCTGTAATAAAGAATGGATTTTATAGAGCTTCTATAGTTTTGCCATCATTTTTAGAGTACACAATTGAATCAGCTGAAGGCTTGGAAAAAATACACTCCGGGGAGCCATTCAGTATTGGCTAAAAAAATAAACTCTGTTTTAATGGGGGGTTTTTTGTTGTTGATTTTATCACTTGTTTCTAAAATGCTATGATCAAGCCCTTGGAAATCCTGACTTCTCAGTTTCTTGCATGGATTCTATGGGAGTGCAGAATAATTTAAGCTTTTCATCTGAGTTAGAATCTTCGGTAGTTCATCAACCTTATCTGTCACGTATATGTCACTGAAATGAGAAAAACTTTAGAAGGCAGAAAAAAAATTAAAAACAAATTAATGTGGGAAGATGATATAAATCAAGTGGTGAAGCCAAGAGTGAATTATCAAAAGATCTTTCATCAGGAGTGAATACATTTTTCTTTCTCAAGAGGAACCCATTATGTGTTTTTGTTTGCACTATTATACATCAAGTGGCATATTAAAGAAACAGATTTATTAGGATTTAGAATGTGTTTTACTCTGATAGGAAAGAATAGTGGTCCTTCAAATTTAATTTGAAAAGGCTTAAACCGTGAAAGTCTACATAGACCCTGTCTAGTAATGAATGCTAAGAAAAACAAATACTATTTTGAACTCAAAAGACATGAATGGATCCTCTCCCATAAGAAAAAAAATACCAAAACAATACCATTTTACAATAAGCATTATTTATTCTATCTAAAATCCTCAGAGTTTATTTAGTCAGATATGGTAGTCTGGCATTTTTGTGGTAAAACATGCTCTTTCCTGAAAGGGGAGAGAAACAATTAAAACAAGGATTTTCTTTTTTTTTTTAAGATTTTATTTATTTATTTGAGAGAGAGAGAATGAGAGACAGAGAGCAGGAGAGGGAGGAGGGTCAGAGGGAGAAGCAGACTCCCTGCTGAGCAGGGAGCCCTATGTGGGACTCGATCCCGGGACTCCAGGATCATGACCTGAGCCGAAGGCAGTCACTTAATCAACTGAGCCACCCAGGCGCCCAAAACAAGGATTTTCTAAGCTCATTTTTCCTCTGGGACAAACTGATTGACTTTACCAATGGGTTCCGAAGGACACATCTAGGTAAAATGGAAATCTCAATAAGGGATTGAGATTGCCCAGCAATTTGGGAAAACATCAAAGGTACACAGAAATTCAGAAATAAAGAAAAATGTGCTTTTCTGTGGTAATCTCCTTGTAACTTGCTCAATCACCATACCTGTTTTTTTATTAGAGAAATGTAAATTTTAGCCATATTGGAGTCTTTCTGGAGAATAATATGTGTGAAGTGTTTGTGTGTGTGTGTGTGCACGCGCGCAGTTGAGAGAGAGAGAGAGAGAGAGAGATGGTTGTTGGGGAAGAAGTGTGTAGACATTTGATTTGGTCTAATATACTGGAAGTGTAAAGATTAGGGGAGAGGGACTATTGCAATCCAGAGAATGCTCTAACCAGACATTTGCAAATGTCTTACAAGTTAAGCAGAAAAGGGTTTTTTCCTTTCCAGGGAGGAGTAAACAGGCTAGAAAGAAACAGGTACGGTGATGTAGCATCACGGGGTGTCCTGATGGGACAGTAGATCAGAGAATGTTTTACTGTGAGGCCAGACTATTCTTGACTAGGGGCCCTTAGGTCTGGTTGTATGCTGGCTCAGGATGAAGGTGAGTCAAAGTTCAGGTACCTGGGGGAAGAAAAAAATACTGAAGCTACTTAAGTTCCATTAACCATCATTTAGTTCCGATTGCTCAGTGGGGACAAGCAGTTCAGCTAAACATGTGTGAGGCAAAGAACGAAAATTTGGGGCATCTGTGTCTGGCCTTGTTCCAGCTAAACAAGGGGGCATCTGTGGGTTGTATCAAAGTCCTATTCCGTAACATGGTTCTCGGCAGGACACTGTTTCCTGGAACAAAAAGCGGGGGCGGGGGGGGGGGGCAGATTTCTTTAACCTCTGCTGTGTTCCGGGATCATGGGGCTGGGGCAAAATTTCAACAATGTCAGTCTTTTTTTTTTAAAGATTTTATTTATTTATTTGACAGAGAGAGACACAGCGAGAGAGGGAACACAAGCAGGGGGAGTGGGAGAGGGAGAAGCAGGCTCCCCACCAAGCAGGGAGCCCGATGCGGGGCTCGATCCCAGGACCCTGGGACCATGACCTGAGCCCAAGGCAGACGCTTAACAACTGAGCCACCCAGGCGCCCCAACAATGTCAGTCTTGATATCACTCTTAGCTCAGCCTTTTTCCCTTGAACTTGCCCTAAATAAGAAAGGCTCTCCTGTATCCTCTCCTGCCAGAAAGATCCTGGGAGAATCGGTTCCCTCTACCAAAGTGCTAGGGCAAGGGTCAGGAAAGAAGAATGACGTTGGAAAGCCTTTACAGAGGAAACCACAGTATCTGAGCTGAGAATGGCCTCCTAAAACGCTCATGGTCCCTCTAACAAGATAAAAAGTGCCTGGAAGGGGCATATCCTGGCATAAAGGCCCCTGAGCTGCTCAGAGGGTCACTGCTGGAGTGTGTGGCTTATTTCCAGAGCTCTGAGCATGGGAGACATTAGATGCAGCCTCTGGACAGTTGGCGGAAGAAAAAGCAGCGTACAAGGAGTTAAGTGGAGGTCTGAAGCCCCTTCCAGGCACATGTTGGTGACTGGGTTTGGTCTGAACAGAAAGAACAAAAGGTCACATCTGACAGCAGATTTCATCAGGGTGAGAAAGTATATACCAGTGATTTTATTATGTCCCAGAGGCTGAGAGAGAGGAGGCATCTGAAGTTAAGCGGGTGGTGATTTTTTTCCCCCTCTTGGGAAATAAATGCTGCATAAACTTGAATAAAGTTCATAAACCTTTGAACTCCTTGTGTTTCATTTTCTTAATCAAGAACACTACTTACCACTCTGATGACTAGTAAGTTTGTCCTGTGAATTTATAGGCACCTAAGAGCTTGAGATAAAAGTTCTTCAAAGTAGGACGCCAAGGATTGTCATTGTTATATATACCGCTACCATCAAAAGCAGCAAAATGCATCATAAATTATATAATTAACTCTCTAAGGGTGAAAAGAAATTAGTTGTGCTCATAAGTAACAAAATGCTGATAACTCTCATTCAATTTCACTGTTTAGGAGCATTTAGACCTTTTATCACTCTTGTGATAAATTAGAAGTGGGAATGGAGTCTGTGTTTTCTATAATTTTGCAGTAATAATGCCATTTCTGACATACTTTGTCTCCGTATTAGGTAATATGATTTGCTTCTTAATTACATTTCTGGGTGAAAGTAAAATAACAAAGAACCACACCAATGAATTCATCTCCTTATAATACATGTTACAGTGAGCCTCGGTCAATGCTAAAGAGATGGAGAGGAAAGAGATTCAGGAAACCAGATTAGATTTTCCCTTTCTCTTACTTGTCCTAGTTTACAGAATGTTATTATTCTGCATTCGATAAATTAAATGTAATTACATTTTACTGTCATGTCCATTTCTCGCAACATTGAAGTGTAGATTGTAGCTTACCCAGCAGCCTTAAACATGGGTCTGCGGGAAGTGGCAATGAACAAAATTATTCCAGTCCTGCTTTCTGTCTCCCCTTATCAAAGCTTCCTTCAACTGCTCTCCTAGAGGAGGGACAGGCCCACCACAATTAGAACACCAACTAACAGATCACCTAGAGAGACTCCAAAAGTCTTACGCACAGTAATTTTTAGAGATTTTCCATTATCCTTTATTCAGCAATATTCACGATACCCATCTTAGTGGTCGGTGAGTGATTCCGAATCTGAGGGGTCATTTCCTCCCCTTATTATCACTCTGCAAGGTCAGGGAAGTTCTGTCACCACCACCGCCCCCCCCCCAGGCGGCCTCTTAAAGCCGCCACAACTTTGGACTGCTTACCTCGTTGATTCGGGCGCCAGCGACTAGGAAAAGACTCCCTTCCTCCTCCTCGCTCCCCCTCGGAAGAGCCAGCTGAGAGCAATACTGCAGAGCAGGCTGACCTCAGTTGACACTCCAAAAACATTTATTTAGCGCTGCGCTAGATGTGAATAGAAATAAAGATAAATAAATACAGGAGCCCAAGTCCTACAGAAGCTGACAATGTATTAATCCACTTGGGAAGATTTGATAAGTTTATTCACACTAAACTGTTATTAGCTGACAAGTGTTAGTTCCATCAGGTGTGATTGCAACAGGTTTCTTAGCAACACCATTTCTCTTCCCTCCATTGGTATGTAGCAGGGGGAGAGGCTGGGTGACTGGGTATTGCGTGGGAACAGCTTCAGAGAAAATCTGTCAGAGCATTATAAAGTTGCCCAACAGAGGCTCCAGAGAACAGGCTGTCATTTTATTTCATCCTGGACCTTTTACAGAATCGGCTCCCCGAAATTTCCCTTAACAGATGCTCTGCCAACTAAAAGGGCAAATGTGCAGAGCTGACCTCGGAGCCAAGAGTCTCAGGAGACTCATTTTCTCATTAAGGATTTTATTCCCTTCAAAAGCACCATAATGTAGCTTGAAAAACTACTTTCCTTTAAGAGCTTGGTTCACTGCCTGATGTACTTTTCCCGGTAATGGCCACAGAATTTAGGTTCAACGCGCAGTAAGCCTAAAGGCCACCATGTCAAGTGTTCAAAACATCAGGAATTTCGGGCTGGAGATAAAGTGGACTTCTGAGTGAATTTCACATTTGAGTGGATCGTGATGGTGTCCTGAAAAAAAGCTTTTTTGGGGAAAAAGTCTAGGTGGCCTTTTTATGAGAGATATCTGGATTTCTGTCTGCCTGTCTATAGATATTTTTATATCTATATACCCAAAATACCATACATGTGTATATATACATATATAATTTCTTATATTCATTTGTGGTTATTTAACAGTAAAACAAAAAATGAAAACCAGGAGCCAACCTGCTTACACAAAAAATTATAAGATATGTGTTTTATTTGGTCTATAATTATAAAACAGTAAAAATATATAATAATAATAATTAAAAAGAAAACTAGGGGCCATACTGTTACGGAACCTGGACTGGATCACCCCACGGAAGAACCAAATGGCACTCGGAGATCTTGGAGGATCAGAGGTTTATTTATCGCTGGTGGGCTCAGAGGACAGGGCTCCCAAAGATCTGAGCTTCGAGCACAAAGGGGGCAATTTATACACTTCTACTTCTGCGTACTTGGCACTCTTGGCACGTGCGCGAAGCGGGGCAGAGAGAAGAACCCGGAAGAGCGCCGGGGAAGGACTGGGACTCTCTCGCTGGCTTGTTTGGCCATTTTAGGACACAGATTTTCCTTATCAATATGACTTATAGATGTTTTCCTGAAAAAAATGATAATGACCTCTCCTACAATTGAGGCAGGCCATTGAATAGATACAGGTTTGAAATATATAAGATCTGCCCTGCAGGTCAAAGTGTTGGCCAATTATCTTGGAATAAGACTTCTTTCGGGCACCTGGATGGCTCAGTTGGTTAAGCGTCTGCCTTTGGCTCAGGTCATGATCCCAGGATGCTGGGATCTAGTCCCACATTGGGTTCCCCCTGCTCTTTGGGGAGCCTGCTTCTCCCTCTCCCTCTACCTGCCACTCCCCCTGCTTGTGCTCTCTCTGTCTCTCTGTCAAATAAATAAATAATCTTAAAAAAAAAAAAAAAGACTTCTTTCATCTCTGAACTTACAGATTCAATAAACTGTTGTTAGTCTTCCTGTGCTCTGATACCAAAGTATAATTCATATAAATTAAGTGGGGAAGAAGAGTATGGGTTGTCCTATGGTCTGTGTATTTTGTAATTGGTCATGAAATTTTTCACATAATTTCTACCATGTAATGTCCAGTAGGAGATACAAGACAGTCCACTTGTCAGTGGCTCCCAAAAGGAAATAAAGTGTTATAACTGAACATTTACATTGCTTGCCATCTCAAGCACAAAGAAATGAGACAAATCATCCCAGGAGCAGAGACCAGATGTTTGGAGAAACCTGAGGCTGTCTGAACACTGTCGTGAAGGGGGCTGGGGTGGGTGAGGTGTTGAGATGAGATTAGCAGCTATTTCCAGTTCTTGGAGCGCCGACCACCACGGGATTAGAATCTAGTGTATACCATGGTGACACTACTTGATAACACTGCGTTGTATAATTGACATTTGCTAAGAGAGTACACTTAAATTTTCTTACTAAAAAAAAAAGATAAATATATAAGGTGATGGATGTGTTAATTTGATGAAGGGAGCTCTTTCACATTATATACATATATCAAATCATCACCTCATACACTTTAAATACCTTACAATTTTATCTGCCAATTATCCATCAATAAAAAATTTTTTTGAAAGAAAATAATGTGGACTGTATCTGAGTATTAAAGTTATCTAGGGGAGAAAAATGAAAGAACTTTGTTAGAAAAACTCTTCTGATACCTACCTCCTCAAGTTCTGAAGGTTTCACTCAATCTTAAAAAAGTTAATTATTGGCACCTGGGTGGTGTGGTCAGTTAAGCGTCTGACTCTTGGTTTCAGCTCAGGTCATGATCTCAGAGTGGTGAGATGGAGCCCCGTGATGGCTCCACGTTCAGTGTGGAGTCTGAGTTTCTCTCTCCCTCTCCCCCAGCCTCACCCCCATCCTGCTTTCTCTAAAGTAAATAAATAAGTCTTAAAAAAAAATTAAGTATTAATTAATCAGAACCAGACAAGAAGGGGGGGGCTGACCTTAATCAAGAAGTTCCATAAAAAAATAACATGTATCAAAATAAATAGTGTATGGTAGGCATTCAATAAATGTTTTTATGAAATAATAATGATAATAGACAATGTCTTTGAGGAACTTACTATGTGTTAAACACTTGGCTAAACACTTACTTATACTCATGTGGTTCCAGCTCTGAAACACGTATTTTACAACTCATTCGATGGCAACACCTGACCTGAACGTCTATGTGGCTCTTTCTAGCTCTTTATGTAGTGTGTATATCCATATGCTTTCCTACAGAGTTGTCAATATGTTTGACTACACTACCCAAACTCTATCATGGAGCATTGTGTAATACAAACTTTCTTTAAAAAATAGAAATTTCTTAATTCTAGGCTACATCTAGTCTCAAGGGTTTTAGACAAGGGTTGTAGACACTAAATCCTTCCAATCATCTTTAATTTAGCATTACTGTTATATTTATTTTGTTGTTGAGAAACTGAAGCACAGAGAGGTTAAGTAGTTTTTTTTTTTAAGGTCACACAGCTAGTTGGGAATTATCACCTCAATTTTGGCAGTTTGTCACCAAGACATATGATTTCTATCCACTATTTTATACTACTTTGTGTTAGAAGCTTGGAGAAACATCAAGGCAAATGCTGAAAAGCAGGGACCCCAGAAATCAGGAGAACCACAGTCCCACAGAGGTCCAAAAGGTAACTGAGAATCTCTGCTTCCTCTTTCCCTTCACCAGAACACTCCGTTGGAAATGCAAGGGTCTGAACCAGCTGACTACCAGAGGCCCGTCTTCTTACTTTTCTCTGACAGGCAAACACATTTTGGGTCAAGGAGTGCTGTCAATGTGGAATGCTCCTCATTGCCTATACATGTCACAATCTGTGGAGGCTGGTCTAGAGGTTACTAGGGAAAAGGGAGACAGAAACAGCTTGCATGAGGCTATTCATCTTGATAGCCTCTCATTGAAAAATGTCTTCCACTTGCTTTTCATATTTAGGAATATATTTAAAATAATAAAAAGGAAGAGGAGATGGGGAGATGGAAAGCAACCCTTTCAGCAACAAAGGAAGGGGAAGGAGCCCTTTGCGAGGTACTTAGCTACCCATGAAAGGAGTCAAGACTGTAAACAGCCATGGAGGGCACACAAGGGGGAAGCTGGAAAAAAAAAAAAAGATGCTAATGGCCATAAGATAAATGAGTTTTCCAGAGAGTTCTGTGATATCACGGTATGGTATGTTATGGAGCTAGAAGGGGCTAAGATGAAATATCTGTACAAGTAAGGAAAGGATAATTGAGTCTGCTAGTCCCTGCGCTAAATGCTGGCCAAGTAGAATGGATTGCTTAATGCACCGTCTGGAGTGGTGACCAATTTACTCTGGGACGCTCAGGCCCTGACTATGGAATTAGGAAGGCAAGTTCTTAAAACCAAACAAAGATGGTATTGAAGTACATAACAATTCATTTACCAGCATGTTTTTTTTTAAGTCATGGTATTTGAAGATAACCCTTGGAGTATCCTGAGGACAGTGACGTATGGTGGTAGCCACACTGATCCACAGAAATGTAAAGCCATTTTGTCAAAATGAGATCAAAAGGTGATGTTAAAACAAGCTTGCTAACCTTGAGGTAATGTTGGAGTTAATTTATATGTGGACTTTGGGTAATTTGAATCAGAAACTGAAAAATAACTTCAAAAAGATTTAAACTCTCCTCCCCTTTACCCATATAAAACGCCCTTCTCCAAAGAACTCTGATGAGTTTCTAATAGCAAGTTCTTACAAGGCTGACAAATCAGCTAAATGGACTTTTTAATCACTATAAAAATGAAGCATACTTGCAGAGATGGGAATGCCAATTATTTTACCTAAAATTTCTTTCAGAGAAATTACATTATAAACTATCAAAACCCAGCCTAGAACTGACTATAGAGAATCAATGTACCCATACCACTATTGAAAAGTCAAAAAGTATTCATTGTTTGACATCCAACCACATGTGCCACAAGTGTTAATAAGACAAACACGGTATGGTTTCAGTGTTTTCAGATAAACTCGAAGTACTCATTTTACATCAGAGACATCTTGAAATATGCTGCAAGAAGAAACTGGATGTTTTCCTGCTCTGGAACAGAAGACAAGTGAAAAGTAGAGAAAAAAAAATTATGGAATGAGATTTCTTTTAAAAAGAAATACTTCAGGGGCACCTGGGTGGCTCAGTCGTTTAGCATCAGCCTTCGGCTCAGGTCGTGGTCCCGGGGTCCTGGGATGGAGCCCTGCATCCGGCTCCCTGCTCCGCGGGAAGCCTGCTTCTCCCTCTCCCACTCCCCCTGCTTGTGTTCCCTCTTGCTGTCTCTCTCTGTCAAAAAATAAATTAAAAAAATTAAAAAAAAAAAAAAGAAAGAAAAACTTCAGCATGTTTATCTCATTTGACTCTTTGATA